GAATGGTCTTCATTGGTTTAATGGTCATGGTGTAGGATCACTGGTAGAGATTGTGGGTGAGAGCCAGTATGTACTAGTAATGATGTCCTGTGAGAAAGGTTACAGTGACAATATGGTGTCTGAAATAAGAGATGTGATAGGAGAGGTAATGAGTGTTTATAAAGAATCCTGTCCCAATCTAGAGGTAAAAGAGTTAGTTATTGATCCTAAAGAACTAGCCTATCCTGTGAATACACCAAGAGAAAGGACAGTGTATAGTGTAAAAGCTGTGATGTCTGCTATTGTCAAGAGAGAAGATTTTGTCGTAAGCACTACTAGTATTAAGCAGGCAAAATTGAAAGAGATCCTAGCTGATGAATCATTATCAGATATTAGTAACCTGTCACTATTAGGAGGACGTGATATTAAGGTAAGAATTAACACACACAAACTGTTTGATACATTAATACAAGCACTAATAATCAAAAGGTCATATCTTTAAAAAGTAATTTCATTTCTTATCAAATTACTCAGTCTTTGTCATAATTGTGGGTTGTCATTGTGTGGCTTTTACTACTAATAATATATACTTGTACATCTGATAAACTCACCTTTCAGCAATACACTACTGATGTATATCACCTTGATAAACAAGCACAGTGACAAATATCAGTTATTATTATTATTATTATTATTGTATAGGAAGTGATTGAAATAACTGAAGAATTCAAGACACCATTGACTCCAATAAAGCTAGGTATGTTATAATATGTACTATCACAATTGTCAAGTAGTGGGAGTATAGACTGTACAGTGTATATACACATTATTAATTATTATTTTTATAGATATTAAAGATCTTGCTGATGTCATTAAAGAGCTAACATCAGATCAACACTTGCCTTGTTCTGTATGGTATGAACTAGGTCTACAGTTAGGATTATATGATGACAGACTAAAGGATATAAAAGCTGACTATGGAGAATCAGTGGAGCGTTTCCGTGAGTGTATGTCTGCCTGGTTAAGAGGAGAAGATAAAGTGAGAGAGAAAGGAGGTCCCAGTTGGTCATCATTAGCTACAGCACTGGACACAATAGACCAAAAGTCTATTGCTAGTTACATTAGAAATAAATATTTGTAATGTACATGTATAATAACAAGTTTGATTGCTATT